GACCCTTGTCCTGGTCTGCTGAATCATGTTTTCTTTTAGATCAGATGGATGGCCAGGTACGTGTGCATCGTTTACGTGGGGAGAGATGGCAGGAGTATGCACTATGGGAAGAATCCAGACCAGCGCAGGCATTGTTATGCTCTGGGCAAATGTTCTGCTTGGAAACCTTGGGTCCTGGGCATTCATGTGAATGTTACTTTGACATGTACCATGTACCTACAGATTGCTGATGACCACGTTCACTCCTTCATGGCAATGGTGCTCCCTGATGGCAGTGGCCTTTTTAAGTAGGATAATATACTCTGGTGCCAGATACTAGAAGACACATTCAAAGATCTTGCGGAGTCCATGCCTTGACGCATAAGAGTTCTTGTGACATCACGAGGGCAACATACACGAAATTAGGAGGTGGTTTAATGTTGTGGCTGATCAGTGTTTACTGCCTGTTGCGTATACCTTTATCCTGACATGCTGGCTGTGAAAAGCAAGCGTCAGAAACGTGAGAAACTTAAAAAAAGCAGTTTCCCAGAAATCCAAAATAATTGGAAGTGTCACAATGAATAATCCCCATCTTTCCTCACCCTCTGCATGATTAGTTAGCAGAGTTAATATATAGCATTGATCGCAAACTCTGGCCCCCAGATGCCTAGAGTCTACAACTCTCAGAACCAGCCAGAGAATCATGGGAGTTGCAGTTCAGCAACATCTGGGGTGTTGGAGTTTGAGATGCCTTTTATAAAGAGTAGGTCCTTCCAATGACCCCTCTCCCTCTCTTTCTTTGGGATAGAGGAGTAACACATAACAATGAGTCAAGTGGTTGTGGTTATGAGGCCAGTGGAGACGGTGGGGTGCTCTGACCCAAATATATTCTGCTCCTATCCAATTAATACAGGGCTAGTGGATTCCCTGTAAATACTGTATATAAGTGTTGGTCACGGGATGCCCAATACAAATATTTAGTTTAATAAACATTGATCTTAGCCTCCTTAACTTAGCGGGTAATACCTACATTATAATTTAAATAATATTTATATATAGACCAAATTAATCCAGCCATCAATTGTATTTTGGGATGAATGTGACTTTATTTTCACCTATACGGACTCTTTGCCACGTTGTAGCACTATAAGATAAAACAATCTGGTTTATGGTAGCATTTAAACCTATGAATAATTTTAATGAATATAGCTTAAAAAAAAAGAATCCAATAAAAAATTTTTTAAAAATCGCAATTTCTGTGTTTCTCAGTGTCAACTGAGTTGGAGTCTTCAAGGAGAAGCGAGGTATTTTCCTTTAGGCATAGGTCACCCAGAGTTTTTCCTCAAGAAAGCATTAGCCGTTTAAACTAGCATTGCAAAGAAGGGATGTATACAGCCAGAAGCCTGTTTAAAGGCAATCCCTTGAAAGGTTCAACAATAGCCCTCTGTAATCCTCATTCCGTAGCTTTGGTCATGGGATTGTCACAGGCAGATTCTTGTTAATACACATTCTAACAGCTATTATTTAAAACATAGATTTTACTTTGTTCTCGCTCTTAAACAATTAAAAAAAATACAGAATAATACTGACTGGAGAGCCTTGCCAAAAACTATACTTAATTAGCTCCCTTAATTTTAAGATGAACTATCATGGCACAAGAGGGATTCAAATTCCAAAGAAGTAGATTTCTTGAAAATGAAAAATATCTGTTAAAATCCTACGTTAATAACTAAGTTTTCAATGCCATATTAAATAATGCATTACATTAAAAAATATATACAAAGAGACACTGCAAGGAAGTTTAGATGCTAGGAAAAGCTGTGAGAAAAACAAAGTGTAAATTGTGTGCTCAATATAGATAAGTAGTGATGTCCCGAACGGTTCGCCGAACGGTTCGCCGTGGACGGCGAACATATGCGGTAAACTTTGACCCTGTACCTCACAGTCAGCAGACACATTCCAGCCAATCAGCAGCAGACCCTCCCTCCCAGACCCTCCCTCCTCCTGGACAGCATCCATTTTACATTCATTGTGAAGCTGCATTCTTAGTGAGCTGTCCAGGAGGTGGGAGGATCTGGGAGGGTACAGGGTCAAAGTTTACCGCATATTTTCGCCGTCCGCGGTGAACCGTTCGGCGAACCGTTCGGGACATCACAATAGATAAGATTTTGTTTTAGACATAGGCCTCACCAATGTTCTCCCTACATTTTAGAAAATGTGATAGAATATCTATGGTTTTGTGTTGTTTTTGTGTACACTTTTTACACACTGCCATTTGCTGTCAAAATAGATAGCACTGTCTAGTCTCAAAAGAAAAACCACTGAGTCAAAATGTCTTACACATCTGCATGTATGTACGTAGCGGGGAATGTGGTGGGACTAAGAGTAAGGAGACTACCCCAATTCTCCCCCCAATAATGACGAACAACGAATATTGGATGAAACAGGCCACAGCATTTATTAAACTTACAACTGTAGGACTCATCCGAACTTTATTCTTTTTCTTTAATTCAAATATAAATAAACAGATAAATATATATACATACCATAATTAACATATAAATTACACTTATTGCCCTACAGCCTCCAACTTAAATAACCGTCCTTGCCAACGAACTTAACCAGGTGCCTATGCACCAAAACTTTACCCACTGGTGTCTCGCCTCCCCCCTCGTCCAAACCAAAAATTCCCATCATCTTAAATGCTCTACCACCAGCCGGCTTTTTGCTCGGTGGGCACGTCCTATTCGGTAACTTAAAAGTTTACCTTACAGAGCAGGGGAGGTTGAGACCCACCATGTCCATCTCCTGACATTCCATCTGCTCCCCAACCCTGTTGGCAAGGACACGCACCCCGCCACAAACCCCGCTGTTTTAAACCTAAAATCAGCGGGGAGCCCCACCAAAACCAACCAGGCCTGTTCCACCACTTTCTGCATGGCAAGACGAAAAAAAAAGGTCTAGCCGGACCTTCATCACCCAGAAACACAGTAGCTGCCACATGCACGACAACACCCGGTGGCAAACCAAAATCCCCTTACCTTTAAACACCTCGAAAGGCCCTCCAATTTTGCTTCATACGGCAGCGTACCATGCACTGATTATGGGCCCGCTGCCAAAAGATATGGGAATTGACCTCCGACCAATCGGGGTTATTTATTGATTCTTTTCTTTTTCTTTTATTTCTTTTTTTTTAATTTAAAATCGTTTTATTTTTATTTATTTATTTATTTATTTATTTTTATAACTGCTTTGTTATGACATACGACAAGTCCTGTATAACACATCCAGAACTTATTATAATAAGCTCTATAATCATAATCTCTCTACTTTTCTGAAACCAAAACTTTAAACATAAATAACCATAACTTAACATATATAACTTAACACACAAGGTCATACAGTGAACCCAACACCACGCATCACGAAAGAACTAAAACACGCACCAATACCCTCTTAGGGGCAGACGCCAAAAAACCACCTTGGTATCGTCCCAAGCTCCGAACATTAGGGACAGGTGGGACAGCTGAACCTGCTCCGGGAGGAGCCGAACACATTTCATACCTCCGACACCAAACCAACAAACCTCCGCTTCAGAAGGCACACAACCCAAAAGCTCACCTCCCAGACGGATACCCGCATCTCACCTGGGAGTATAACCAGGAAAAGGACATCCATATATTATCTGTTTTCCAAGTGCACCCTGGGAATTGTTACTTGTACCCAAGGAACTGGTACTCATTTATCTATCTCAAAGGAAGCTAAGAATTGAACCCGAACCCCCCAAGGATTGAACAAATTCCACGAAATCAGCATTACTTCACCGAGACATCTCACCATACCCCCTCCCGATTCTTTGCACCACGTGCGCTGACATACACATTCTAAAAGCCTCCAAGGCAGCGCTAAACCGAAAGGAATGACACAAGATTCTTTGCTGACAGTCCCTAGAACCATCAGACTTGAGCGAAAGACCCAAAAATTGGGACTGGGAAAGAAAAATTAAATCACATCCGCATAACTCAAAAGAGGGCCCATGCATACTGGGCGCAGCTCACAGTTCTCTACAAAGGAAAAGTGCAACAGCCGAACCGCCATACCCTTCCCAAAACAACATTCGACCTGGATTGTCAAACACTTATAGTGATATGATCTGCAGGGCGCCGACTGGTGGCAAACAATACCCCACCACCGCATGGCCTACTAGGAATCACCAAAACCCCAACCTGCACGGCCCCCAGGAGCATAGCGTCCAGGTGGCCGTGGAAACCAATCCATGAACCATTCCGTCACTCTGCCAGACTGTCCGCCGGGCAAGGCGTCCCCTCCAGATCCGCCTGCGAGGCGATTGCCCCTTAAGCAAGCGAGGGAAGGAGGCTGTCAGCCGAGTAATGGCTTGAACAACTCCCAAATTGTCGCAGTGAAACACTACCCTTAGATCCTGAAACGTGACTGCCAGACCTCCCCCACCACCAAAATGAGGAAACGCTCCAAAAAGCCCAGATTCGTTGTGAGCCCAGAGACATGCCAACTGTCCGGCCACACAGGAGCACACCAATTAGAGCCCAGAATGGCCCCAAACCCCACCGCTGCGTCCGTAAATAGGTGGAGGTCGGCGTTAGAAACCTCCGGCCTTTGCCAGCAGGACCGGCCATGATATGCAGCTAAGAAGGACTCCCAAAATCTCCCGCAGCAGCCGAGTGAGCGGAATGAAATGGCGAGGCCTGGAGACCACGGCTGTCGCCGTAGCCAGACGCCGGTTAAAGACCCGCCCCACGGGCATGATCCGACAGGCAAATTTCAGCTCACCCAGGAGCGACTGCAGGCAGCGCAGCTGAATATTGCGCCGCCCTATGGCCAAGACCCCTTCGCACCGCCAGCCTTGAATCTTATTCAAAGGCCAGCGGCAGTCCCACGCCAAAGAGTCAATCTCAATGCCCAGAAAGCTGAGAAAGTGACCGGGCCCACCGTCTTGCCGTGTGCCAATGGGATCCCAAACTAATGGAACACCTCACCCAGAACCCATCGCAGCAGCGAACAGGCTGTCGAATCGGCAGGACCCACACAAATGAAATGATCGAGGTAGTGTAGCAAGGAGACTATACCAGCCTCCTCCCTCACCACCCAGTCCAAGAACGTGCTGAAGCATGCAAAGTAACAACAGGATATGGGACTACCCATAGGGAGGCACATATCCACGTAATACATGCCTACAAAAAAAAAACACAGCCTAGAAGATGGTGACATCCCGGGTGCACTGGCAGCAGACGGAAGGCCGAATCCACATCAGCCCTGGCCCAACAAGGCCCCAGGGCCCATGGCCCTGACCATATCAACCGCCATGTCAAAGGATGCATAAGATACCCGTCAGAGTTCCCAAGAGATGTCGGCATTCACCAAACCCCCCCGGGGGTACGATAAATAGTGAATCAGACGGTATTTGTCCAAAACCCATGCTCAACCCATCCAGTAGGATGCCAGCCACCCGACGATTTCTATAAACTGGAGAGCCAAGGGCGCATCGCGCTCATAACCACTGGTGCCATCGCCCTCTGACCCCAAATCCCCAAGTGGGACATTCGTGCTGGAAACAGCAAGATGCCCCCCATTTGCAGTGACTGTCGTTGAATTTCAACAACAGCCCGGCCTCCGATGCGCGGCCGGTGAGGAGGAGGACCCCACCACTACCCCTCTGAGAAAGGACGAGAACGCACCCTGCTGGGGGGCCATGCAGCTCACAGTGGAGGCCAATGTCAATCTGTTCCCACGAAATTGAGGGGCGCACCGCCAACTGTTGACAGAACTGCTCGTCATATTTCCACCATCCGAGACTGCCATAGGTACGACAAGCGTTCCAAATGGTATCCTGGTAGCAGAACAATGCGGAGCACTTCTGCGGAGCCCTTTCCCCAGTTACACTGGCCAGGATTGCAAACGCACAAATCCATTTTGCGCAAGTCATAGGGATCTTCCGGAACTGGTATTTCTCCTTGTCTTTTTTTTTTTTTGATTCCTACCCGTCCTTTTCCATTAAAGGAGGAGCCTCCTCCAAGGGAAGGAGGGAAAAATCTCAACAAAGTCTCCCCTGCAAATTTTTTACGAACCTCCTGTTGAAGGTGCAAGCCCAAGTGCCCTGACCAACACATAGGCGGACCCACGCGAAACGGCAAACCTGGGGGGTCACCTAATGCTAGGGACCCCCTAGCAGTATCAGGTGCTGCAGCACCCGAAGCCGTAGCAGGGGTGCCAGCATGCACACCCACTCCAGGAGAGGGTAACAGTGTGACCCCAAAAACAGTCAAAAAACCCCTGTGGCTGCAGTGCCGGGGACCACACTAACCGGAGCTGACCATCTAATGGGGGGACCCTACCTGCTTGCGCACCCTGCTCCCTTCATTTTATTTATTTATTTATTTTATTTTATTTATTTATTTTTATTTAATTTTTTTTTTTTTTTTGACTGATCAAGAAAAAAAACCCAGCGAGGAACCCCTGGACTGAAAAGAAGAAACATTAGTGAACTCACCAGCCGATGCCCGAGGAACCTCCCGCGGCAAAGGAAATGAAGATGATCCAGGCAGGACAGAGTTAACTTCATTTTCAGCACTGCTCAGCCCAGCAGCAGCACCAGCGCCATCTGCTGGCCGGTCCCAGGAACTGCAGCCAGATCCTGTGTGAAGAGCCGTGGAGAGGAGCTCACACCCGCAGAGGAGGGCAGCCGAGGTAAGTACCGGGGGGGGGGCAGGGGGGACATAGGGACCAGGAATAGGGACAGGAGAGAGGGGGGGAGGAGGGAGGGAGACAGAGAGAGAGAGAGAGGAAGGACACCCAGCACAGCAGGAACAGGGAGAGAGCCAGGAAGAGAGAGGAGGGGACCCAGCACAGCAGGAACAGGGAGGAGGAAGGAGGGAGATAGAGAGAGAGCCAGGAGGGGGAGCAGAGAGAGCCAGGACAGCAGCAACAGGGAAGGAGGAGGTAAACCAAGGGAGAGGGGACTCCAGAGGGAGAGGGGTCAAGGGATGGCACCAAGGGGGGAGGGAGGAATTGGGACAGAACCCGGGGGGAGAGGGGGACCCCCCGGCCGACCCTCATCCCCAGAGGAGCCATCAGAGCCCGGGGAGGACCCCCCTCAACCCTCCAGCGGCAGCACAGCCATGCCCCGCGTGGCCCTGAGGGGCCCACTCACCATTACCGGCCCGGCTCTGGATCCGCCCGCTGACCACGTGGGGGCTGGGAAGGCCTCCCAGACCCCCCAGGATGCAGTGTAGATCTTCTGGCACCCCTGGCCTGCTGTCCAAGGCCGGGGGGTGCGCGGGGGGCGGCAGTAGTAGCAGGCCGCGTGTCAGATGGAGCAGATGGAGCTGACACGCGGGCCTGGTGGTGCCTCAGGCCTGAAGGATCAGGGGTCAGCTGAGCTCCGGCCCAGCTCTTGCGGCCTACAGGGGCAGTAGCCTGCGTGGGAGGCCCAGGAGAGGCCTGACCACGGGGGGGTGAACCCACACCGGCAGGCAGGCCAGGCTGGAGGGGAGCACATTGCTCCTGAAGGTGCCTGCCATCATCCAGGGCAGCAGCAGCTCTGAGGGCAGCAGGATTGAATCCACAGCCATCCCTCAAGCTGGAAAAGCATGCAGGCCCAGGACAAACAGGAGCGCAGAGGCAGGGGAAGTTGTTTGCTGGCCAGAATCCCAAAAGGCACTGAGGTAAGATGATCCCTGCCCCACTACAAACCCATAACCACTCCCCTAAACACATATAGCCAATCACTAGCACCATCCCCACACTCATACATGTGCCCTTGTCCGTTTAGCTATGCTGACTCCCCAGGGCCTTATATGTTTGAGTAATTTTTCTAGGACTTTTAGGGCGGCCAAATCAACTGGGCACAGTGGAATTGTTGACTCTGGCAAACAATCTTGGCATTTTTCTAGAGCTTTGAGTTGGAAATTGGAATATGAAGTAGTTTTTCATAAAAGCAGTACAGATGATAAACCGCGCCTAAAAAAACTTTACCCTTGAGTGTAGTGACACAGAAAAATATACATACCTGTATCAAAGGGGGCCTGCTGGATTATGTTGCTCAATATCTCAAAAACAAAAGCAATACAAATAATAAACGTACAATAAAGTAACTAAATACAAATATTGTACCCAGGGCCGGTGCAAGGATTGTAGGATGTAAAGTATAATTCAAAATAAATTACATTTAAAAGGATTTAACTTAATTGCAATTATAATCAAAATAAATAAAACTAATAAAAAACTAATTAAAAAAAAACAGTATAAGAGCGTCATGGAAAAATCTTCACAGGTTACAGGTAATGTATGTCAGTCTTCCTGTGGATAATAAAACATCCTTATCTATGGCAGATAAATCCTCAGATTGTTTGTTCACTGCAGTCTCCGGTTACATAAGGAGACAATCATAGTGTAAAACGCACAGATAAAGTGTCACACCGAGGTGTCAGAGCGACTCACAGCTTCAAATACAAGACATCTATTGCCAATCTGAAACTGATAGAGCAAGCATTTTCCTCTGATATTTACATAGTTACATGATGTCCATCATGTTCAGCCTTCCTCACATCTGTTATTTGCTGTTGATCCAAAAGAAGGCAAAAAGAAAACAATTTCGCAACAAACTAGTAAATAAAAATCGTTCTTGATCCCAGAATGGCAGTTAGATTTATCCTTGGATCAAGAAGCTATTAACCCACATATTAAAAATGATATCCTTGAATATTATGTTTTTGCAAGCACGCATCTAGTTGCTGTTTAAACATCTGATTACACCTATAGCGAAGGTAGAATGTTAATGAAGGTGAGACATCAACTGGGTTACAGACGTTAGAACTAAAAAGCTAAATTGGAATTTCAAGAAAGCCCAAGTAGATTTATTCGATAAACTATGAATTATGGGCAACTGACTAGGCAACTGCTAATTTTGTTCAATCGCTGAAATTTGCCCCCAAAAATGTAGCTATTGTTTCAGATCGACTATTTTTGCCTAAATTTACAGTTCCCTTGTTTATTTTCCAAAATTCCTAATTTAGTGAATAAATTCCAAAATGTAAAAGAGTAAATTTCCAAAATAATATGAAAACAAATCTAAGTATTACTTTATTTTAGACTGTGTTTAATGACTTTTTAAACATTCTAAACTTAAAAAATAAAGTGTGCTGTGCCTTTAAATCGTGACCGATTTATGTGCAGTATGTAATTAAAAAGTGTTTAAAAGCAAAACAAAAGTGCTTTTTGCAATATTGTGCAAACACATTAACTCGTGTTTAACCCCTTAAGGACCAATCTTCTGGAATAAAAGGGAATCATGACATGTCACACGTCATGTGTCCTTAAGGGGTTAAGTGCAACATAATGCAAGAATAACATTTGTCATTGTTAAAGTTTAGAGGGCACTGACACCATAAGCACTGTCAGAAATATTTCTCCCTTTTAACATTGTGGGTTTTGA